GGGTCACCTGGTCATAGAAGGAGACTACCTCTTCAGAGTCCTAAACAAGTCGATTCGTAACTGAACTAGAACTAATAGTGTCTGGACCTTTCTCTGCACCAAGAACCTTGTTTTACATTGTCATGTCTTAAATGCCACCTAAAATGCAAGCTGTCACTACACTTCTATGTTAGGTTTTGTTCCAACATTACTTGCATTTATTTTTAACCCATGTTGAAGTTTATGTATAGCAGTGTTATGGACAGGTGAAGCTTCAGGGAAGACATAACCCAAAGCAGAATCTTGGTATTCTTTTTGAGTATAAAGAGCCTTAAAATGTGAGGTTTTAGTAACAGATGGGTGGGCTTGGGAATTACTTGTTCAAATGCAAACAAATTGTTAGCTAATTTAACTAATTCCTGTCACTGTGTACCCTTCTTCCTTATTTTAAAGTGATCAGGAGAAGGCTTGTTACTTTATTTCTTATCGTATTCCTCCTTCTTTTCCTTTAAGAGTTGTCTAAGCGTCACTTTGTGCCAGTTCATCAGCAACAGTTAAAGGAAGTAGACAACCCAAGGGAAAAGGACTGAGGTTTAGCTTACCATATAAAAGAGTTATTAACCAGACCAGTAATTTGGTCTGTCAGCCACATTGTCTTCATCTAGAAGAATCTTTCGTTTTAAGGATCAATTGGGTTTTAAGGAACTGTTGGATTCCACTTTCAACTAAGTTACCGCAAGCTTATCTGTGCATTGACCAAGTCTGTAGACTAAAACTGTACAATATATGAAGTTACTCAAAGTTATCTGTTTGAATAAAGAAGCTATCTAAGTTTAAGTTAATACACAGAGCAATTTGTTTTTCTCCAGTTCAGTCTTGACACTGCCTGATAAAATAGGAGAGTGCTCTAGTGAAATTATCATCTGGGTGGGTAGTAACAAGTGAGCAAATACTTGTTCATTTCTGGAGTCTTACTACTTCCTACATGCAACAGTGAAGACAGAAGCTGCAATTTAAAAACCTGCACCTAAAGATTACTTGTATCTTTTGAACAGTTTGATCAGTGTTTAATAGTACTAACATCTGAAGAATGACACTGATCCTGACATGTGCAAGAAAAAAAAAGCTTATCGAACTCAGTTAATCAAGTTTTCCAGTTAGTTTTAAGGTTCTCTGAATTTAAGATGCAGTTCTAATCTAAATGAAATATGCTGCAAGTCTTCCAACTTTTGCTGAACACTGGAGACTTGACTGTCATTTTGCTATACTTGATGATTTTCTTCCCCACATGACTATATTCATCTATTCTTATGCCAATACTTAGAAGAGTTAAAATATGTTTCCTCTTTATGCTTACCTTGGCAGAGGTTTCAAACCATCCAACAAAGCCACCTTCTCTGCAGAACTGGTCCATTTGAGAGGGACTCTGGCTGCCATCTTTCTTCTGGTCACACTTGTTTGCAAGAAGAACAGCAGGGACGGGGCTGCCATTAGGAAGTAGTACTTTACTGTCCAAATCATGCTTCCATTTTGAAACAGCCTCGAAAGTGGAGCCTCTTGTGACATCGAAGACCACAAAAGCACCAACTGCCTCTTTGTAGTATACTCTGGTCATATTTCCAAAGCGCTCCTGGCCTGAAAGAAAGGACAGTGAGAGAGTATATTTATATTTAAGCATGAACTGTGGTCAGCATAAATGGGCTTCTGTACGGGTTAGTACACATGAATTTGGCATTTAGGTCTAGTCACTTAGTTCATACAACATTGCCTCTTCTGTCCTATGTTATCTCATTGTAACAGCCATTATGTGTATCATACAAGTCAGATGCTAAAAGCAGTTTGCAATCCCAACTACCACTTTGATTATTTTTTTTAAAAAACTTATTTGTTGAGTAGTGTTCTTTAAGAAGTAATGCCTAAAGACATTAACAGCACAGCTATAGACAAATTCTTTCGTCAAAAAAGCTTCTGAAAGATTTAGATATAAACCTATCACTTTAGCTAGAGACTTAATCATATCCAGAGACTTTTTCTGGAGGGTGAGCAACAGGGTTTCTACAAGCTCCAAGGCTAACACAGCCTTCAAAGCATCTTCTAAAGAAGTCACCTATAGATTTTTTCCTTAGGGACAACCTCAAAAGGAGCTAGTTTAACAGTTCTAGCTAAACCTTTGACTTAATCTTTTATGTCCGAGACCTTGTCTAGAATAATTTCCAATTGTAGGAGTTCTACAGCAATCCCAGGATTTGATACAAGATGACCAGAATAGTTAAAGTACAATTATTCACAAGAAAAAAATCAAGAAGAAAATCAATGGACAGCAAGTATAGTCAACTAAAGCCTTTTCTTATTAAGTATAACTATTGTAGTCAGTATACTTGAAACGTAGAATTAGAGTGCCAGGTCAGTTATTCTTCTGTTTGGAAGGTCAGACCATCATGCTGTGTTTGTACTGGAGTAAACATTAACAGTGTCAAGTGCAAGCATGTTGCTTGGGAAGTTCGGGCTACTAAAATAGCCTTTTGCTTTGTTCGGAAGTCTTCATTGGGAAAAGTAGTCCCTGCATTTTATAATTCAGTTTTACAGTGTATCATCACTTCAGCTTTTAGCGTGTATGCAGTTTTAGAATAGATAGAGAAAGTAGGAATTTTAATTGGAAGATAGTTATCCTCTGTTCGTAAACATTCAAGTCTGCCTTTGATTAGCAAGGACAAACAGTTACAAGAACTGGGTATTATCTTCTCAGAAGGAGCCGGAAATTCATTAGGTGAAGGAACTTGACAAGGGATCCTGTTCAGCAGCATGCTTTTCTAGCTCAATTGCCTGATTTTAATGTCAGTACTTCAGTGTACCGATTAGCTCATTCCCAACAGACATTTTCAGAAAAGGTTGATTAAGCAGCTGTTAGAATTGCTGGAAAGCAGCAACAGCTACAGTGAAGTTCCAGAGAACTATAAAGTTCTAAAGAGAACTTTATTTCTGGCTGTTCAACTTTAAAGTATGATGCTGCATAAAACAGCATCACTAGGCAGCATATTCTGAGGAGTGGAAATTACATTAATTTCTTCACTGCCAGCTCATTGTCCCCTGTGTGATAACAGGGAGCATGCAAGAGGAAAGCTCTTTCCTCCATATTCAAAGCTCAAGTTTTAAAGCATCATTTATACTGTGGACTCTCAGACCAACAAGCCAGGCACCAACCTGCATCTCCGTGACTATGTCACTGGAAGAGGCACATTGCTGACAAGTCTCCTAACAAGTGCACACAGAACTTGTATACAAGTAACTCACATTGTCTCCCCAGGCCTTTCCAGGCTGGATTCTTATGCCTAGAAGGTGTTTTTGGTATAGCCTTACTACAAATTTTTGTATCATTTGCCCACTGTTTTCATTATTCAAGTACCTGTAGGAAAGAGTTTGGCCAGAAGGCTTTTACTTGATCTTCTGCAGATCAAGTGTGCCACATCTAAAGAAGCTTTACTTTTAGATTGTGGGGATTTTTTTTTTTTTTTAAATGGAGCTGCACAGGGTCAAATTTAGTTATATTAAGCCAGTCACTGCATATGGCACCACACAAGCTATGAGGAGCTCCTTCTCAGCTTTCCCATTTGTTTAGCCATCAGTCTCACCATCGATTCCTGGTACATGGGAACATCTCCAGCTGTGCTAAAGCCTCAAGTGTTGTGTCCAATTCAGGCAGTGTATCCCTTCACACCACAGGATGGGCCTACAAAACAAACAGTGTAATCTCAAGGTCTACAGTGCTCTGTACCAACCTCAGTCTTCTACAAAAAGATTTCTTCAAGTTTGGCCCCAAAATGGTCTAGAAATGGACACCACTTGCTGTTATTTACATGAGACTGCACATGAATCTGAAGCAGTGAGGGGAACAGTCCCATTAGTCCTCCCTATTCAGTTGTTGGAGATCTGTGTGGATTTCAGTCTTTTTTTGATTAAGGCTATAAGTTTTTCCAAAAACTTGATGGACATTTACATAAGAAAATTAAGTTGTATTGATTAGTTGCAGAAAGGGTTGCTAGACTGTTACCAGCAAGGAATAGAGACAGCATAATCACTACATATGAAAACTAAGGTATTCAGAAATTGTGGAAAAGGTTATCAGGCAGTTATCATTTCTCAGATAGCTGTGCATGCTGTAGGTAAACATGGCTGTGATCAGTTACCACAGTGAAGGACATTACCATTGACTGAACCCCTTCCTGCCTACTGCTCTCCCATCCAAAAAAACTTTAAAGATCAAAAACAGTTAGCAAGAAGGCCATACTAGCCTCCTATAGCAGTAACTCTTGCTGAAGCCTGCATGACACAGTGGGTCTAAGGTATAGGAGAGAGATTGGACTAATACAAGGTCACATATAGCTTCCAAAGAAGAGAAACAAAGTATATATCATAACCAAACTTGAAGAGTCCTAAACACCACCAAATGTTTTTTCTTAAAGAAATAACAGGGGGGCCTAGCCTTGGCCAGAAAGTCTGGTCATCACTCAGATAAGTTTGTCAATTCCATTTCCAAGAGAATTCCCATCATCTTACCAGTCAGTCTTCCCCGCCCACCTGGCCCAATGCCTTTATATACAATGAGCTGGAGAGCTGAACCGACTGGTAATCAACCAAGACTGCCTGGCAGTTGCTTCCTTGACATTGGTGACTTCTCATGCCCCAGTGTCCCCCAGACTACATGAAGCTTTAACACCATGGCAGCCCCTTCCCCTGTTGGTAAAAGCCAGGTATGCTATACTAGAAAGGCAATGACAGTCTTGTAGCAGAGGAGCAGGTCAGCTGAATGCCCTCATGAGGTCCTGATCAGAAGAGAGGCCACTGCAAGTGGGGTTGTGCTAACTGGCAGATTCAGGAGCTCTAGAATAATGCAGAAGCCAAGGTTAGCTTTGTAGTAGCTTTCCTCATTGTGTGAGAAGACAGCAGTTCTGGTAGGAACGTAAGCCTGCACTGAACTGTACTTTACTTTGTACTCTATAGCAGTCACTTAGAAAGCATGGGCTTCAGCTGTCCAGAACAATCATTTAAGTATTATTTCTAGCTGCGTTTATTGATAGAAGTTGAAATTTTTGCTCTTATAGTATGAGTTTTAGATTTGGAAAACCTTAATACATATTCTTCTGTAATTTAGATTTGGGTAAAAGTAGACAACTGATGTGCATATCAGCATAAAAGCCTCTATCTTTACTTATTAGATTTAAGCTTTACAATAGGAGGATTTGATACCCCTTACCTCTAAAACCACATACAAGCTCAACACCAGTGTACTATTACAGATACACACCAGTATGAGTGCTGCCCTTTTCTAAAGTAGCCCAAATTCCAAACCAGTTTATTACAGCTTCTTTCACCTCTAGAATTCACATCCACTAAAAATAGATTTGACCTGTGTACTAGCTTCTGACTGCTCTTCCATCCTGTCTGGAGGTCTAACAAGGATGGATATATTCTTACTCCATAGAAAGAAGACAGAAGCAATAACACATGACCTGCCTAAGAGGTAAGAGTTTTGTTGTGGTAAAAGATACATGGCATGAGGCAGGAAGCGAATTCAGAATAAACTGAGTAGACTTTCTTTACGATCCTGTATTACTGACAATGCACATGCTTTAGGCTGAGCTTCTTGTAGGGGACGTAGAGCATTCTAGACAGCCTTTTGAAAATTTAACAGGACTTTCAGGCAAAGCTTTTGCAAGTGCTTTTCTGCTTGCAAAAAAGCTCATACAGAAAAAGCAAACTGTAGAAGACACCACTCCTCCAAAGTTTGGAGTGTGAACATCATTCTCTATTTAGGTTATTAAAACTAAATTGACTCAATTTTTGCCATGCGCAGTTCAGCCAGGGATTTGTCATTCCCTTTCCTATGTCCAGCAGAATTTTTGCTTTAGTCATTTTACCATGTGTGAGCATTGTGTTGAGCTGTACCAAAAGTGGATCATACCCCCAGAGGGGAAAAAGGCTAAAAGTGATCAGATGAAACTAGACTTAAAATCTCCAGTGTGTATAACCATGGAAGGAAGAAGACAGGAAAATTACTTGCTTACTACAGCAGTACGGAAAGGACATCAGAGGATTAATCATTCTGGTAGTTCTAGTGCCTTGATATAAACCTGATGGTACCACAAAGTTACCCTTTCTCTGTGCTTTAGGGGTTCAGGTGTAGATGAGGAGCTAAGCTACAAGGCAGTCATGGGGATCAGATGTTTTGTTTGGAGGTATGGAAGTGGCTGCATGCAATGCAAAGTTCTGCATTCTCCAACCACAAAGTTTTCACATCTAAATGACTCGGCACATATTGTCACCGTATTTTCCAGTAATTGCAACAAACATTAAGTGAAATACTTGCATAATGTCATGCATCAGATACTAATACAGTTCCCTACAGCAGCACCACAGGAATTAAGTTTAGTTTAAAACTGTATCAGAGCTTGGGAGCTATTATTGCTTCCCAGTTTACAATGTAACAGGAGTAAACCATAAGTTAAAAACGTGAAAAAAATTATAGCCAGGTCTGACATTGAAGCTTTATTTTTGTCCTTTACTTCACTGCAAAAGATAAGTTATCATCATAAGATTCAGACACTACCAACCTTGCCCTGAAGTATATTTTAAAGAGT